GGCACCTTGACGGATTGGAGCATTACGAACCCTCCAGATTCTCTACCTCAAAATCTTGAGTTTACGTCCTAACAAACAAAGCTTATGACTACTGCCCTAGTGAACTCAGCTGTTCGATATCTTTCGGTGCTTTTTGCAGATCACAGTGTAGTTCGTGCTACTAGGTGCCTTGTTTGTCGCTGTCATTCCTAACTACACAATAGGATAACGCACAGCGACGTCATGCTCTGGGTAGAGATCTAGCGAGATGTCCCAACAGCTACCAGATAAGCGTTGAATATTAAGTCTGACGGGCTAGAAGGGCAACGGCATCGCCTCCCTCACACCTGGCGGCCGACCCGCTGAGTGATACCTTCGCCGATACACGAATGTCCAGCGAAAAGGCTACTATCATTTGCCTTTAAAAGCTGTTTGGCCTAGGTCTCAATACGATAGGCGTAATTCATGGGATAAACAAGAACTAGGAAGGAAGCGACAGCGAATGGCCAGACCGCTTCTGCTTGCACCCCTCCTACGTGGCCCCAGTAGCTGCTTGGTGAGATCTGCCGTTTAATCCGGCCCATTCTCTGTTGATGACGTCAAAACGAGCAAAATTTGCTTGTAAATGGGGAATTGAGAAGAGTTTAGTGTTGCGACTTGTTTGGAAAGCCTGTTTTTATCGTAATGCTGCCTTCTCTGTTCCTGAGCTAAACCTCACGCGGTGCGCTGTGTGACTCGGCTGCACAACATTACGAGCACGAAGCGATTGACGCGGAGTATTCACACTGCTTCGAAACTGTTGAAAACAAATAAAGAAAAATTTAAACTTGAGTTCTATGCATAATTCATTAACAAAACTTGTTAACTGTACATCAACAGTACAACGCGCCGCGTTCACCCCTTCCCACCACCCATCTTCACATGCTCGAAGCCACCGAAAAGCTGGGTGACCTCTACTACCTGAAACGCAGCAGACCCACCAAATGAGTTACGTAGTGTGAATGAAATTTAGAACGGAAATTTCTCAAGAGTCGAAAATGCCTGCTTCAAAGCTGAAGAGCTCAACGTCCGGCCTCAAACCCCTTCCATGCAAATCTACGAGCAGCTGTGGGTTCGTCTACCCCCACCTGTCAGCAAAGATCCCCAAGTTTTTCATTTGGTGCTGTAGAACCTTCAACTTTTCAGCTTCCGCATTCCTCCTGTAGTAGACGTCGCAGTGCCAGGCATGCAAACAGCCCTCTGCGCACAGCCGGGAGCCTGCAGGAGATCCACCGCGAGCAATTCTGTACACGGTAACGAACGGCAAAATGCGTCGTTTCGCTTGCTTTTACGTAGAGAACCTACATGTGAAGGGGACAATTCTTGCAAAAAACACAGATAGACTATTTCTACGGACGAGCTACCACGTGTTTCACATCTGTGGCGCACCTGAATTCACAGAAAGCATCTTCTACACGTAGCCTGTACTTTCCCAGCCCTGCTACGGCCCCAAAAGTACATATCCAGCATATTCACCTACTTCGAACTACTTGAAACCTAACGCCGAAATCTATTACCCGAATCCAAACATGGACTCGCTTTGTACATACCGAAACTCGCTTTGTACATATCGAACTGAATACAATTTTGTAATGCTCACCGGCGCAGTGTCTGCATACATCTGCTGCTGCTGCAAGTCTCCGTTCAACTCTGTTAAGCTTCTGGTAAAGCCGCATGCAAACGAGACCCGGGCTGCTGCTGCAATCTTTGCAGACAGGGGGAGGCACTAAGACCACTTCTCTCTTGGTTAAGTCTGTCGTCTTTCTTCTCCCCTCGCTAATTTTCGGCAGCTTGTGATGATCAGGCTCATCTTGTTCTGCGTCGTCGCTACTACTGCTGCTGCTGAAACCCTTTTGCAGCAGCTGCCGAATAAGGTTACTTCGGGTAGATACCTCCTCGATTTCCGCAAAGGACCGCCCGACTTTCCTTCGCTTATTTTCTACAGGACTAACGATGTCTTTGTATGTTGGGGACAAGCAAGTAGGCCCAAGCAGCCTGCATCTGCTGCCACAAAACAAACAAGAAGCTCCTGCAAAGAAGCGCTGCAACACCAACCTCTCCCTTGTTGAGCCACCTGCTGTTAGTGACCGTATACCAAGTTGCTGCAACAACGATTGCTGCTGGTGTCGCTGCTGTTGCTGCTGTGGTAGAGCGGCTGCTCGGCAAATACTTAACGCGGCGAGCCGCTGTGCTGGCTTCGACATGTCCCTAAACCATTGCAGCAGGTCTACTGACGCTGGGGGGGGCAAAAGAGAAAAAAGCCTATCAATTGCGGGTATAATTTGCTTCGTGATATAGTAACGGTAATGCAGGTATGAGACTGGATGCTGCTGCTGCTGCTCCTCATGCTGTTCATGCAGATCCTCTTCTGGCTGCAGCAACAGCGAGAGAGGCTTTATAGAGGGTTGCACCCGTCCCCTCAGCAGCGCTTGCACCGCTTTGTAATCCCTCCGACCACCCCAAACATTTTCAGGAGCTGTAGCGCAATCCACAAGCCGCGACGACACTCCTTTGTGCGCCGCCCCAGAGGCACCGAGAGGCACATCTGTGTCTCCTGCTACTTGGGAGAACACAAAGGGAACCCGCATGCCATAAGTTTCGGTGGCACACCCTCCTGTGCTGCCCTGCTGATGCAGCCTTTCATACAGCACTTTGGCTTGGGGAGGAAGTGTCCCTGCAGGGGCGTTTCCCGTCTCGGCGCGATATGTTCCTGTGACAAAAATGTGCACGCGTGTTTTTGCTAGCTCCGGCACGGAAGAAAGCTGCATTTGTGTGAGTACATACATTGAGTGCATAGGTTCATTTGAGAAACATCAAAACGTGCTACCGTAGGCAGGCCCGCCGGCACGTACGAATGCAGGTTGAGCTTATGTGGGTTCACGAGCCTCTTTCAATTCCACCAGTATTCTAAAAAATAAAGGCACGGCTCTACATGCACCAATGACGTCCCCGTGATAAGAACAAAAAGGGTGTAATGCTTATCGGCAGTGCGACGGCAGACTGCCTTGAATATCCTCAGCAAAGCTAAACTGTGCGTATATTCCTAACTGCGAAACATGTACTGTGCATGCAAGCAAGTAGTACAATACATAGAAAGCTAATTCCATTCCATACAGGGGGCAAGTGTATCAGAATATTTCCCGCGCTGTCTTACCGAGTTTGGCCTTTCGGTGGAAAATGAAGTGGCTTATGGGTACTTGGCCTCGTAATATCTTGCTCCACTGCCTGCAAAGCTGGAGAAAGACAACATTCACGCGCGCTACTGACGCCGTGTCTATACACCTTCAATTGCTTGCAATGCAAGGATAGCTACAAGGAGCTATTTGTAAGCCAGCATAAATGAGGTTAAACTCATCCGGGCACAACATCCAATTATTCTGCCCATGCAAATACAGATTGTCAATGATATAATTTATGATTTTCTATCGTGATGTAATTTATAATTTTCTATCACTGTTCTACCTGTTGTTGTAGAACGTACAGGTCTTTATGTGCCTGGACTGCTGAAATAGAGCAACCGGACGCACCAGTTGTTTGACCTTAGAAAGATCTCGGGTTAAAAAGAAAGTGCGCAAACTGTTCTCCAGAAGGGCCGATGTAAGGGGACACTGATCTCTGCGGATGGTCTCCACGCCCTGCATACCACATTGCGGACGAGAAGTTAATGATCACAGCTCGAATCAAGCTAGCTAACTGCCTGAAAGAGAAGGAAGTAGGGCAGCTAACATAAAGCAGGTGCAGGCAGGAGAAAATGCAAAACGGGGTTTCTATGTCAGAAAATTTACTTTTGCATCAAACGTAGGCGGTCCAGAAGGTGACAGATAGGCATTCCCGACATACCTTTTCTTCGTGACCAAACAGCATGGCAAAAACACCTGAGCTCTCCATGCGCAGGATCACAGAGGTGTAAACTATCCAACGAAAAAGGTCTTTGCAGATCCCTTTTTAACTAAAGTCACTCCTTGTGTTCTGATAAAACGCCCAAACGAATCCATGTACGCATTCACCGGCGCGCCCATTTCAGTAAGGTGATGCGCCGAGTCACATGCACGTAAGTGCCGCTCTTTGAGTTTTGCAACTCTAAACAAACACGTTCTTACAGATCCCAGTGAAAAAGAAACCGCCATAGCAAAGATGCAACCATAATCCCGCTTATAGTCTGAAGATCAGATCACAAATTGCTGCAGCTGACGTTGGGTTTGCATCCCTAGAGGGAATACCTTTTCAAGCTGCAACGTAATTGGTGCTGGATTGCTCCTCGTGACGGCGTCGGCAATCTCCTTGCCAATAGCAAATGCAGCCTCGAGAGATCTTCCCTTTAATAAAACAAATATCGAGTCCGTGTCCCCATACAGTACGCGGGCTTTCCACCTGTACCAAAGCACAGTTGGAGAAAGACGCGCGGGCTACTATGTGCTCACCGCAAAACATAGAATACTAGTCATCTTCTCGCAAGGGAAGGGCAATACTGCTAATCAAGCCACACAGGCTGCCCAAGCGCATGCTTCGTTCGTTCTTGACCTCCGCGTGCGTTTTCTTGAAGTTTCCTTACTTCTGGGTTTGCTCTATGAGCTGCATTGCGCGAATCAAAGTGGCGCGTGCCGTTTCAACAATCGCGTCAGCGACGTCTGCGCAAGGCATTCTGCCGCTGACGTTTGCGTTAGTGTAGCTGTACAGGCCAGCAGGACAGTCAATGTCAAACACTGAACAGGTGGATTGTGAAGCCAGCCTCTGTGGAACTAAATTCAGGAAATGAGTAAGCCGTGTGTGTGTGTGTGTGTGTGTGTGTGTGTGTGTGTGTGAATGCACGCATTCATAGGCTTTAAATTGCGCTGCAACGGTGCATGCATTCATAGGCTTTAAATTGCGCTGCAACGGTGCATACATATCCATGCCAGATTCGTGTGCGTGTGGTGCATGTTTTGGTTCACAATCACACTTAGTGCAAGCTGTATCGGCAAAATAAGCTACTGAAGCTACTGTTACCCGTAAGTAACGTTGGCTATCATCTTGAGGCCAAACTGACGGTAGTCAAGTTTTCTCAAGAGCGCCTGATCAGCATAGCCTTCACCTGAGTGTATACAGTTCTTCCCACAAGCATAGCATCCCTCTCGATGCTCTCGAAGCTTTCTAGAGGGCGAAAGCGCTATATGAGCAGTTTCTTCGTGCGTCCTACCCTTAAATGCATCTTAACTTCATAAAACGTAAAAGGGCTGTGCACCTCCAACGGTGTGTGGATCATGAGGAACGGAGCATATTCATAAAAGTGCCCTTCCCTTTAAAACACACCATCTTACGACAGGCGAAGTGTACGCACATCGCAAAGTGTGCATGCTTGTTACCTTGGTAACGTTTCGCTGCTTGCTTGACCATTAGACGTGTCTGTAGGATATCGTTTAATAGGGCCGGCAATATGCCCTATTTTGCACAAACACAAAGGAAGCCATGAACAATTTAAAATATGAAAAGCTCAAACGACCTTGTGGACCAACCGCCGCATGGCATCCTGCAAACATTACCTGGAGTCAGCCCTACTATAGCTAAACCTTAATAAAACAGTTATGTCTCGGCGTAGTCTCCTAACACCAAGGTTACTTGCCGAGAGGAAAACGCAACCAGGAAGAGCTAAATGCGCCTCACCTGGCGAACTCGACGTGATACGAAGATACTCCCTCCAGGCAGCACCCGCATTGGTTCTTCTTCAGGGGTTCCCGAGCTAGGCCAAGAAAAGGCTGCGTATTCACAATTACGCAGGCAATAACCTGGAAGAGCGACTGATAAGGGTGGAGAAAAAAGCATGCACAAGAAACTAATTGTGTCAGCTGCCTTAGCATTGGAAAGATGGTGTGTACGCAACACTGGGAAACCGTTGGCTCCAAGAGAAAACTATTTCCTTATTCACGCGTGGTTAAACCTTCAGATTTTACACCTTGTGGCTTACGGCCAGCAGCATTGGCCTCTGCATGCGCCTGAATTACTTGTGCGAAGATTTGGGGTGGTGTATGGACTGTTAGGACACCCAAAGTCTTCATTTCGGACTCCAGGGGGTCCACCTGAAGTCAACCTCTCAAAAAGCTCCCGTTGGATCTGAAAACCTTATGTTGTGTAAGAGGCAGGATCTGAATCGACATAAATGCTTAACGCCAGGTCCCACGACTCAAAATGTAGCTTTTGGTGTTTAAGTTCTCAAAGCTTACCTCGACGGAGCCTAGGCAAGTGGAATAGCAGATGTTGTTGGCGATTACAATGGATGGGTAGAGCGAAAGAAAATCCAAGACTAGAACAGGCGAGAAGTAAAACCCTGAGAGCGGTTCCAAGACCAGCGGCACCCCCACAGTAGCAGGTTGTTCCGTTACCTGCAGAGCACGCGTAAACTCCAGGTCCTAATTAACGTGAGCATTGTAGAAGTAATATGTCAGAAAAGTAAATACCTTGATCAGGTTTCCTTCACAAGGCCCTGGCTTCACTGTCTAGAGCTGAGACCATACTGAAACTAGGTCATGTGGGGCTGTATTTGTGACTCTTGCGTGCCTGCTGCTTGGAAGGAGATACTAGGACGCAGTTCATTCTCTTAGTTGCCCTTAAAAGAATGTTTTCAACCTTGAATTGGCTGCCTCGAGTTAACGCGGAGTGCAGACAACAGCCATACAGTCTAGCAAGCTCGCAAGTGCGCGGCAAAACTTCGCAGCTGTCCATGAGACGAACACATAAACAGACCCTGAAAACGGGAAAGGCGGACACAAGTGAGTACGGTCCCTTCAAGCCAAATGCCCTGCCCTGGACTGAATATACAGCCAGGAATTCTTGGACCTCAGGGACTCCTGTTAAGGTCACCTCTTCATAACATAAGCCAACAGGTCGGCAATCGACTGCAGAGCCCACAATTCGTCCTGCCGCTGCTGACACTGCTGCTGATGTTGCTGGTGCAGTTGCAGAATTTTATTGCGTCTTCTTGTCTGCTGTGCCTGCTTCCACGTGGCGGCAACGACGCTCGGAGGAATAGAAGGCACTATGACGCCCAGTACATCTGCAGCAACTCCGCTCAGGTCGGAGTGCTGTAGCTTCATCTCTTTCTGCATTAGACGCCAGCCTTCAAGCACAAGTCGTCCAGGCACAACAGAAGCTCCTCGCACCCACCGCCGCCTCCGACGCACCTCAGGCTTTTTAGCAGCGCCAGTCTCCTTCGAGCCTCTGGTGGATCCAGCTGCTCTTGGGGCTTCAAAAGCAGCGTGTGCCCCTTGGAACCCACTAGCAGCAGCAGTGGAGAACGGGTCGAACATGCAGACAGAAGACACGTCATCCGCCCTGAGCCAAAAATCACACAGGTATTGTCTTTGTTGCTTATATACACTGCTTCCACAAATGTAAAGTTACCACATTATTTGAGTGTCTGGCTCGTTCAGCATCTGGCTTCCGGCTCTGTGCTTCTCTGATTTCGTATACATCTTATGGGAAAGGTTCTAATGGTTGTTCATGTTTCGTTGGGTCTATGTCTGTGGCTTATGCAGGCCTGTTCGTGTCTTGCGAGCCATTTAATGCTTTGCCAGCCGTCCATGTGCTTGCATGTGAATAAGTCAGGATGGTGGCGGTTTATGGTGTGCTACGTCTCATTGTCACTGCTTGTTGCTGCAGGCATTCCATCGCCTCCTCTCTGAGCATATTGACGTGTTCTTGTCGCACCGTCGGCTGCATCTAGTCCTAAACAATTGGCCAATGCCGAGTGCATCAGCCCGCCTTCCTAGAAACTTCAGACCTCTCCCTCCCTCTTCCCACATCAGCATTAAGGACGGGTCAGCTGCAGCAACTACGCTGCAAAATTGCAATAGCAACTCTCGCTCGCTCGTCACAACGCATCGCCACCACCTCCTATCAACGCAGCTGTCAATACACCCCAATACAAGGTCTTCCCCAGGATTATGTGAAAACCCCACGGAGAAAGGTGGTTGCCAAGAACTTCCTGTAGAGCCTACGGGGTCATATATGATAACACCGTTGACGTCAGAGTAGGACAGTTCTTTTTGCTGCTGCTGTAATCTCGCAACAGAAAGCTGCAACCTTTCGTCCCTTAAAACAAAGCAGACAGCCAGCACTGAACATGTCGACGGGTTAGGCGTTGCTGCTGCTGCAGCTGCCTCTGTAGCTGTTGCAACAGGGCACTCTGTGATGACCTCCAAAGCTATGAGCGACCCATAGCTTGCTGCTTGATGCCCTTGGACGCTCCTGCCGGCATTTCTGACATCCCTTGGCCCTTCCGCTCGCTGTTCACTCAGGCCCTTCTTTGCCCTTAGCACTTCAGAGGCCACGCTTACTTGTGAGGATTGCTCGTTCTGGCTGCTACTGCCGCTGCTTTGAGACGTAATAGCAACGGCAGACGAGTCCATCTGCTGCGGTAGTGGGGCTACATAGCTCACAATCCTGCCGTGATTGTCCAGCCGAGTTGCCATCCGCGCCTTTGGTCTGTTTCGGTCACTGTCACTGTTGTTGTTGCCGCTGTTTCGAGACTTTCCTTGACAAGAGCTCCCTGCGTCTGAAGGTTTGGGATCTTTGGGCTGCTGGCGTATTGGAAGCAGCTCTATCGTCTCCCTCGATTGCTGCTGCTGCTGCTGCAGTTCTAATAGTTGTTTGCCATCACAGCACTTTTCGTTCACGTGATGTAAAGCGGCTCCGTGTTTCGTCTGGGCACTACTGCTCTGTTGCTGATGCTGTTGCAGCAGCTGCTGCTGCAACAGTTGCTGCTGCAGTCGCTTTTGTACAGTCCTCTGCCATTTGCGCCTGACCCTTAGAGGACAGCTCGCGTACACCTGGGCTACATCTGGAGGTGGCCTGAAGTAAACGAAACAGCACCTGTTGCTCTGCTGCTGACGTCGCTTCTGCAGCTCATACCGACGAGGCTTCTGCAGTCGCTGTTGCTGGTGAAGAAAGCGCAAGAGCTCAGTTTGGTATTCCGCCCTTTCAAAGACCAATGACTCTCCATCTGTTGTAGTTGCGTTCGTCGTAATCGTTTTCGCTATTTCAACGCATGCGCACATTGGCGCAGTCAAGCCACCCTGCTGTTGCTGTAGCCGGCCTCCTGGCGTCGCTTTCAGTGGATTAATTGCTGAAGGTACGTCGCGCGGGTTACTGTAGAACGGGTATATTTCTTCCTCCTGATCTGCTGCTTCTAGTGCTGTGACCTCAGAGCCCGGCCGTTCGGTTCCTGCATCTGGAGTTGGAGAGATTGTGATTATAGGATCATTCGATTCGGAAGCAGCATTATCCTTCCTGTCCCCCACTGGTGAACGAATTTTTGATGGTCCGTACTGGTCGCTGTTACTGCTACTGTTGCTGCTGTGGTCGTCATTCTTTCTGGAGGGTCCGTCGTCTTTCTTCTGAACGTCTCTTGCAGCGCCACTTTTTCCCGTTCTTGCTGCAGCCACTGTTGCTCGAGCTGCCTGCAGGGAATTTCCTTGGAACCTTGGTGCGCTTTTCATAGGCTGTGTCGGAGACAGGTCCTCACAAGACGACCGAGGCCCCAGCTTCACTGTTGGAGTGTACGATGAGCTGCTGCTTGTGGGCTCAGACCCATCAGCTGCCACCGCTGATACACGAGTCACAAACGTCGTTGATGGCACTGGGGAAGCTGCCACCTGTGCTTGTGCTGCCGTTGCCGTTGCTTTTGACCCTGCACTGTGTCCAGCAGAGGCATATTGTGCATGACGGGCCCAAAGACTTCTACCCAAATGGCTGCTTCGAGCTGCTGAAGAGGTAGCAACAGCGGCCGCTGCAGATATGCAGCTGCTGCTGCAGGAACGATGCGGCCTGCCAACTCCCTCAGCTGGGACCTTCCGTGCCTCGCATGCTTGCAGTGAATCCTCAAAGTCCGAAGAGCAGCGTTTGCGTTCGCTAGACAGCTCACAGCTAGAGCATTCGTTTCGTTTGCCGCTTCTGCTTGTCCACTGCCCAGATCTGTTGTCTGCACACATTCTGGGAGACGTCTCTCGTCTCCTGCGTGGCGACGGAGATGCATCCTGCGAGTTTTTCATTCGCCTTCGAGAGTCATTGTCGCTGAGACTACTGCAGTCCGCATTGCTGCCCCCAGAGAATGCACGATCCTCTTCCGCAACTGGATCACGGACCCTTCTGGAGCCCGGCTGCTCATCGAAGGCGCCCCCAAGAGATTCTGCGTCTGCATGTGGGCCAACGGACCCCTGAGAGGCTAACAATGCAGCGAACGCTTCGTCTCCAATGTTCTGAAAACAAAAATGGGCGAAGCGCATTAACAACACACTGCAGCTGCTGCTACCTTTGGCGTCATTGCTGCTGCTGCTGCACTCAGTTTCGTCGCTCTCGCTCACTGCAATATCCAGGAAGCTTTCACTAGTAGGAAGAATCGCCTCTGATGCGGGTTGCAGACCAACAGAGGCTTTCTGGGAAGGAGGCAGGCCCTCAATAAGATACTGTGGAACATTCGTGGAAATCTGGCTACTGCAGAGCCCTCGAAGAGACTCGTGCTGTCTCTGTGAGAGCCCTGATATACATCGCTCCCTAGTTCCCCAAGATTGCACACAACTTTCTCCAACAGGAGGCCCTTCCGCTGCATATTCCATCGAAGCAGATTCGTCACCCTGCATGTCCGGGTTAGAAGCATCCAAGACCTGGGAGGTCTCCCAGTTCTGAGACAAACAACACCCAACAATAGGTGTGGCGGGCTGCCGCTGCAACTGCTGCTGGTGCTTTGGTTGTGGCATATCACTTTTACCAAAATTCATCTGGACTGGAAATCGCTGCAGCGGCTGCTGTTGTTGCTGCTGCTGCCTCCACGTGTTGATGCGCTGCATAATGTCGCGAAGCGCCATCCTCAACGTCTCTGGAGCAATCGCCCCCTCAGGGTCTCGACCGCCTGCATGGGGTCCCCAATCAGATGCTGACGGGGGCGGCAATCCCAATGCTGATGCCCGTATTGCTTCCTCTCTCCAGTAGTCCGCAACGCTGCCTAGCAGCCGAGCAGCGAAGGCGTTGCTGCTGTGTCTGGTACTGTTGCTGCCTTCGATAATGTCGTTAACACTGAATGCGCTCGCTTGTGAATGTTGCCGCTGCAGTTTTTGCTGCATGCAGGGAAGTTCCCCGTGCGTCTGGTGCTGCTCATGCTTGGGTGCTGCCGTTGCTTCTGCGTCTGCTCTTTCAGCAGCTACAATAGGGTTCAGGATCTGTTCTGCCCTTGCGTCCGCTTCTATCATGCACTTGCTGCGTCGGGGTGCCTTAAGAAATCCAAGGCCCTGAGGGCCTTTCGGTGGGATCGCCTTCATTAGAAGCTCGCACAAGCCTGAAATTGAATCAAAATTTCTGGTATTATCGCCGCAGCCACTGCTTTTGCTGCTGCAATCGATAGCACCATCTGTGTCCGAGGATCCCGACGTTGCTGCTGTTGGTTTCGCCGTATTTGTGAGCTCCAACTGCTGCATTTGGTGCAATAGTTTACCCCACCCCAAAGCATCTAGGGTCTTTGGGGCTCCTATGCCCAGCATTTCCAGCTCTCGGGATACAAGTCCACCACAAACGTTCCGACAGATATTTGGAGCCTCATCTTGCTGTATCTCTTTGGTTACACCTGACAGAATATGGTGTGGGCCGAGGGAAGGGGCCCTCAGAGGGCCAAATTGTGGGTTACCCTGAGAATGCACCTTAATTCCTGCTGCATCTAACGGATGCAGAGGTACAGGAGCCCTGTACAAGGGCTTCCAGACGAAGACAGGAGACATCCCTCTTAAATGGAGATCTGCCAAAACCTGGGTCTGTACAGAAGCGAAAAAGCGATGGAGAACAGCAAAGAGTGAATGTTACTCTCTGGCAGTGTACTCTCTTTGCTTCAGCTGTCCAAACAAAAGGCATCAAGGTACATTCGGTCTTGCGTGAACATGTAACAGATGGTACGACGACTCGGGCACAGCAGCAGCAACACAAGCAGATGTGGAGCAGAAGCTCTCTTTGTAACCTAACTGCGTCTTATTCAGTCCCTTCCTGTCTCTCATTTTCTGTCAGAGGCATGCACGGAGCATAAGGATGAATGCAGATAAGTGAACTCGCCTGGAAATTCAAGTGCACTTCAAACGGTTGCAGAGGGGATCCTGTAACTATTCCCTGCAGCAACAGTCCAGCAAGGGGTCCCACCATACTCGGGATCGTTAACGATATCTTTAAAAAAGCATGAAATTCCCTGTGGTATCCGTAGAACGGTAGTCGCTTCACTACCTCTATTTTGTGCACAAGCGGTGGAGGCTCCCCGCTCAGATTTGTCCTCCCACCAGGCCCAAGTCCGTCCCCCACGTAAGATTGTCCACAGCCACCTCCCCTGACAAGGCGTGAACCCCTAGAACTACGAGCCGTGGATGCCATGAGCCGGTCTGCTTGCAGCACCAGACGACGGGCGAAGGCGCGTAGAAAGGAAGGGGCGCCATTTCCATAAGCCTCTGGAGGTACTGGAACATAGAAGTACGGAAAGAGGCCGTGCAAGTTCAGGCAGCAGTGGGGTCCTCCGGGGCCCCAGGGCCCGTATATTCTGATTACCGGTACCCTACTCAAGGGCCTTCCGCACACTTCAGACACCAGAGGATCCATCCCCCTGATGGGGGGGTCCAAAGCAACTTCTATCACTGCCGCTGTCACAGCCATGCCCGGCAGCTCTCCTCGAGGCCAGGAAGCTCTTAACAGCTGGGCGCGTCCTACAGGATAGGCCCCCGGAGGTGTTCGCGCCTCGCGGAGGTCAGAACGCGCATCCATTTTTTCTGACGAAAAGGTCGATCTAACACATTCGAATGGGTGAAGCAAAAGGGCAGGAGCGCTCGCACGCGCTTCTGAACTAAAACAACCCGAGAAATGTTAGAACAATGCTTGCCTCTGGGGAGTCCCTCGACCGGCCATTTACCCGGCAGCGACAGCCTAATTGAAGTGTGGGGTTTACTTGCCATTGGACCACTAGTTCCAGTGGGCGTTCGAGTCACCCTAAAGGGGCTCCTGGAAAAGACAGTATATTCCTAGGCATAGATCACGACTAACTGCAGCATTTCCAGATTTAGTTTAAGCTTTAATTTGAAATGTCTTCAAGGGCTTGCCATGAAATTGACCAGTTCTGCTGCTCGTTAAGGTTTTGCATCTCCTGAGGACCTGACAGACGCTGCTGAGATCCCGCGCATGTTGATGCTTTACCTGGTCGTCAACTGGGTCCTGGCGAATGAAGGCTCTCAGACACCACAGTACTGTCTGTGCGTTCAAAGCATTTGGTGACCGGCAGTTCCCAATTATGTATTATATTCGCATTTCAGAGGAGCCAATAAAAGAAGAATACTGAAAATGAGCCATTATTATTCACATTGCATGTGTGCCCTGGTGAAGGAAGTCCTAGTTTTGGTGGAATTGTATGCTGGCGTATGCGTTGACGAACGAGTTTCGTTCACTTAATAGTACCTTGAAAGCTGTTATGTAGGAAGAATAATTTGGTGTCTGGCTGTTCCCTCCCATTTGATATACATTGCTCTCTAATTACTTCAGGGACCTGACTAGACGGGGCTGGACTGTTCCCAGTTACCATTGTAGAGCCGGACCTTCTGGCCACGCGTTGTGCCTACTTTTTAAACAGAGGGTTTCAGTTTGCCTTTTCAGGTTCTGTTTTGCTACTGTAGTTCTTCGTTAGAGGCTTTCATGGTTCGTAGACATCACTTACACCGATATTGCGACTTCGATGAAGCCAGGGCGAGTGGTTATGAAAAGAAGCGCTGGGCATAACGGAAGCCAATGATGCTTATACAAATTGATGCAGAAGGAACAGTAACGACCTTAATAGAGCAACGATGCGACTCTTGCTTGAGGGTGCTTATAAAAATTGATGCAGAAGGAACGGTGACCTTAATAAAGCACTACCACGATGCGACCTTGCTTCTGCGTGTGGTTGCAACCGGCGTTCGTTCCCCATAAACTGCAAACATCTTTAATGTAGTTATCTGATAAACGTGACGATGGAACCTGTGGCTTTAGCCCCTGCCCACAACAATGCTTGGAGCGTCCTGCGTCTCAATCAGTATGGGGCAGTGCCCGTCGATCCAGTATCTCCGGCGTCTTACCTGCAAACCACTGACATACGAGCTAGTCTCGTTCCATATGCCTCTAGCAACTTTTGTAATCGTGCAGTATACGCTTCCCTTACTCGCACCGTGCCTTGAAGGCATCGTCAACTCGTCGTAGCATTGGACACTAAGCTGAGGCACAACCAGTCAAGTACAGTGTGAAATACCTCAAGTTGGCCTCCACTAGTTTCAGTAGATACATTTACTCCTATCATATACCTTCAACGGGCACCGTGGTCCACTACGGTAGAGCACAATTCTGTTTCCAGAAATGCTGGCAGTTCTCATGAATTAACAATAAGCGAAGCAGACTTGACATCAGACTTGACTCAGCTGTGAATATCTGCGAGGCACGGTTGCCAGGTCTCTGCGCTCTCTTTCTCAACTTTAGCAGTGCGATTTCGGCCAAAGCGGTGTACCAGCAGATGCGTTCTCCTACTCCGCGCCTCGACAGCAGCAGCGAACAGGAGAACGGTACCTCTCAACCACTTACAGTTCCCCGCGTTAATTTTGAGGAAGACCATTGCATAAGATGTACTCATACAAAGTGGAGTCAAAGCCGCATCAACAACACCTGTTCATGTCTCTGCCACTTCCCTAAAGCCCAGTTAAGTATGGAAAACCTCCTGGATGGCGTTAATGGCGTCAATCGTGCTGGCAAGAAACAGGCATTCAGTGTGAGCAAGCCAAGCAACGAAAGAAGCGTCTTCCTTCGCTGATTGGCTCCCCAGGGGTACTGGCCGGAGGTAAAACCACCCTTTAATGACTTCTTGGATTTGTCATCTCAGATGCGCTGCAGGAGTGAGCGTGCAGACCCAGTTTCATTCGCCGACAGATCGCACAATTATGCGTTGAGTTGTGAGGGCCAACAGCAGATAGAGCCCACTTTTCACAAACGTTGCCAAACTGGCGATCACATACCCAGCGCTTTGTGATAGGGATGGCTTGCCCTATTCGAACGAGTGGTAACCCATTTACGGAAAATTTCGGCTCCAGAAAATATATGTACAGAGTAGATATGTGAAGACACTCTGTGAAGTATTGGGGGGAGACAATAACGTGAGCACCTATGTTTGCACTTTGAAGTGCACGCTGCTAGTGTAATGAGTCAAGCCTTGTTTGGTCCCGGTGCATTCCTCTTTTGTTTGGCTAGCGTGGGTGCATTCCCTTCTAAGGAACTGACTTCCGCAATTACTTGGAAAAAAGGGCGGTCTTTTAAAAACAGCATAATACAAGAGCACCTCCCCGCATTTACTGCGCAGCATATCCAAAGTCTGTACTTTACACGGCGGCTGCCAGTTGAGCACAGAGAATATATCCATCTCAACAGCCGTGGATGCTTAGGCCAATGTGTAGGTTCGGCGTTGATGAGTTATATATGCCACTGCTGAAGATCATATTCATGCTTTGCTGTTGTTCCGAGCACTTAAATTTCCCCTTCTCCTCAACACATCTCTGCATTCTGATGACCAACTGCTGGTTACTGCCTGAATTACATGCCTCGATAATGCCATGTTAGCGAATAAGATTGCCAGCGAGACCGGTAGTGTCTGTTGCTGTAGCTAGCGGCTTCCTGCTTGTGAATGAAGCGGGTCAGCCAACTGAGCGAGTCAGAGGGCACAAGGAAAAGGGAACTGCAAGCCGCAGAAGTAGGAAGGTCTCTCATGAAAGGTTGGCTGACACGTCTCCACGGCCTTGAGTTAATAATACAAAATTTAGAGTGGCCTGGTTGCTTCTGGATGCGCGCCTTTGAGGCCCCACAGTGTAGGTCAGACTTCATGTAAACAGTAAAATCGCCGCGCATGCGCGGCATTTGATATTGCTTGCTCCAAGCAAGAAAAGCCTTCATCTCGTGCGTAAGATACTCAAGAAAGACCAACACACAAATAGGCCGCAAGCCGTGGCTGGGAGATGCAAAATTTCGACGGATGGCTTTACCGAGTTGGTACGCTATGGAAGTGCGGAGTCGGGTACCTATGGGACCAAGTAAGAGGTGGCCTAGAGAATAGAAGGCAAAAGGATTTAAGTGACTGCCCAAGGGAACACAGTTGGTTAAGTTTTCTTTTGCGTTGTGATGGTGCAAATAGTGTTTATTAGGCTGGAACGTGCTGGAATGTGCTTCAAGGGGTAGTTTCGTGCTGTAACGATTATTATAAACGTTTTTTGTGGGAGTTCGCTGCGAAGGGAAACATGCCTGATAGTGATAGTCGAAGTGTACTTCCGCTTTAAGCGATTTCCCCTAGTAGTTTGTAACTTTTTGGAGAGGCGTACCCAAACTGCCCACGGCTGTACAGCGAGAGCCTTGTTATAGTGATGCACAATTCGGAGCAGAAACAAAGTAGCTGCCGGTGATGCTGCTAATACCACAGCTCTCCACCTCTACAGTCAGAAACTGGCAAGGCTACTGCGATTGCGCTGCGGGAAAAGCTCATGCGCCTTACTATGTTGAGCTCTTCTCTTTTTGCTTCACGAGGTTCCTTCGGTTATCCAGCGTCCCTCTTCAAGTGCTTGTGATGTTTGGTAAACTTCTTGCTTTTCTAGTGCCGCACCTCTGCATTGTCAGTTGTAGCATAACTACAATTGACTTCTGCAAGGGATATAATTCCATTTATATGTGGGTATGCGCTAGTTGCTTCCACTTT